AATTAGGAATCTATATCGAAAACAACAATTGATCTGTCCACATAAAAAATTTATATTCCATTTTGCTCATCTATAACACTATGATATATATTATATGTATATAATTTTTCATGAAGATCTAGAATTATTGTTTATTTAGATCTAATATCAAAGATTTATAGTATACTTTTAAAAGGAGTTCCAATTTATATACCTCAATCATTTATTTCATCTATCAAAAATATTCCATTAAGATGATAGTTTTCGAATATTTCTGAGAGTTTTATTAATGCTTTGTTTTTTAAAATCACAGTATCTCCATCAATCATTCTTTCAAATCTATCATCTTTATTTAAATCCTTTAATTTTAAATAGATTTTTTGCTCAAATTTATCAATGTCAGCTAAACTTTTTGATTAATCCCATGTCATTTATCTAAGTTTTGTTAAATGATTCTTTGATATTTTCAATCCTTTATTTGCTTGTATATTTTCATTAAACTAGACTAGATTATAGCATTCTTCATTTGAGTCAGTATTAAATTTTTATACATAAAAGGGATGATATTCTTCTATGACGCTTGAATCTAAGAAATCCTTTAATTAAATTCCATCAAATTTAAGTTCCTTAGTTTAATAAAACTTGTAATTATTAGAATAAATGCTTACTCTGTAAAGAAATGAATCCTAAATATAATAAATTGATTAATTTTCTTGGTTAGTATAAAATTTAGAGTATCGATCATGATCCTAAAAAAACTTAGTAAGCTAATTTAATTCAATATTGTAGATTGAAAAATAATTTTTCCTTTTATTACTATCCTTTATCAAAAGGATTATCATATTATTAGATAACTGAGCATCAATTACTGACTCTTGATTATCTAATTTCAATTATGCTAATTATTAAACTATTGATTTTGATGTCTTTGTAGGTGGAACTATATATAAATAGTTGTCCTAATCAATAGCATATCTCTAATCGAGTTTCTCCAAGAATCTAAACTTGATTTTTGCATAATCTGTTTTATTAACTAGTGTAAAATCTTTTTTAAGGTAAAATAAGCATGTACCATCTATATCTTTTAATACTAGCAAAAAGTGATGGTTCTTTGGTCTTATTATATTTTTATACTTAGATCTAATACCAAAAATTTCAAATTCTTCTAGATAGATGAAATTATCCTGGATATGCTTTTCCTATTATTAATCATATGAGCGCACCCATTCCTTGCTTTACTATAATCCCCGCTCTATAATATTAAAATCTATTTTATCTTCTTTTACCTTCATTAAAAAATGATAATCTAAATCAGTATTCAAATAGATTATTCTATTATCAATAATATCAAAAGATTTAAATCACTATACAGATAGCATGATATGATCACTTTCAAGATTAAAATCATCTTAAAGAATTTTTTCTAACTCTATCAATTTAGTATGTGTTTTCAGATCTAGGCCTTCAGTAATTACTTACTATTTTAAATATTCAGTTCCATTTATTATAATATAAGGATCTTCTTCTAGGTTCATATTTTTTATTATTTTAATGGATTTGTTTAGTTTAGTATCCCATAATAAGGTAGATTTTTAAGTTCTCTGGGCTTCTTGGTCAAGTGTGAAAGAAACAATAAGCATATTTCATTTTTATAAAAGTAGAAATTGTTTCACTTAACACAAAAATTTAGATTAATCAAAAGTAAATATTTCTGTCTTTTCATACAAAGAAAAGGTCCTCAAATCAAGTTCATTTTATTGATTCTATTTAATTATTTATTACATTTATCTGTTTGGCTAAGTTTTTCCCCCCTGAGTTTATTAGCTATCAAGATCCATTTATTTAATTAATATTTAATTAATTGCCAATTAATTATTACGAATAAAACATTTGTAAAGTAGATTTTCAATTAACTCTTTAATTTATTAAAAATGGAAATTACTTTGTCTTATGTTCAATTTGTTATTAGATAATAATTAAAGTATTTAAAGTAAAGATAAATTAAAGGAAATATAGATAAAATGAAATTAATCCTTAAGTATCAAGTGTTAGGTTGCTAACTTATTATTTAATTTTGAATCTACTTTCTATGATTAAGAATTATTTCAAAAATATATAAATTTGCATTTCATCATCCATCTTGATATATCCTGATCTCGGGGTTTTGGGGTTTTGGGG